CAATCTTCAGTTAGCCAAATGTCTGAGAAGGATCACTTCCTGATGAGGGACAAAATAATTCAAGTTGAAAAAGTTGTTCTGAGCTTGAAGAAAATATCTTTATTGAATAGTACACTGACACATGTAAATCACTTGATATCTGAGGTGCACATCAGTGTCAGAGTTCCCGGTAGTTCTGATGAAATGTAAACAAGGTGTCCATCGTTTAGCAGTGCATCAACCTACATGAGCAGGATCCATGGATAGTGGCCCAGTTGTCTCCCTTCAAGGCTTTGTTAAGTCCCTGTCTATACCACAGGATTTTTATGTTTAAAAACTAAATTTAACTGTGAAGTTCCTACTTGTACACCTCTTTTCTGTTAAAACTAGTGTAAACCAAACTTGCATGGGAAGATACTATTTCATATATATCTGTGCTTATAAATTATTGTGCTCATTGCAAACCAAGCAGTTTTGTTTTTTTTTTTATTTTGAATGCATCTAAGTACTCAACTGTAAATAAGTACAATCTGTTACACGGTAGATCACATGATATTGTGCAGTTGGGATTTAAAATTAGTTATGTAGTGTCATGACTTTGTGTTATTCAAACCCTAACTGAGTATTTTTGGTTAATAATGATAAATATGTTTTCTAACAGCCTATTTTTGCATAATGAATATGCTAGCAGTCACAAGTTTTGGTTGAATTCATGGTTTGACATTCAGTTGAGTATACCTTTTCTTACAGTGAGTACGGAGATGAAACTTAAAAATGCTCTCCATATATGCTCGTTCAAAATAATAGCAGGAGGAAGAAAAGAGTTTTGCTTTGAGTGGTAAAGGATAGTCACTCCTTGCACTTGCACACTGAATCAGATAGAGACAGCTGCAGAGGGAAGATATGCATTGCAGAAACTAGATCAATTGGATTCAGTCACATCCAAATGAAATTACATCACTCAATAAGCTTCCTTTCAAGTTACTGAAATCTTCCTGGCCCAAATTTCTCTTGTCAAGTTACTGAGTTTTGCCAGTGATTAAAGTATCTTGAAATTGCTTCGATAACATCAAGGACCTTGTTGTGACAAGGTCTGTAAATGCAGTCTCTTTTAAGAGAAAGCTGGGTTTCATGTAGCGTATTGGGTGTATTGACTGAAATTTTTTTTCATCGGTTCTCAGATGCTTCTATTCACAAAGAAAGTGCAGAATGAAGGAAAATGACATTTTTATTACTGAATGAAACCATTTCACATACGTGAAAACATTATTTAATCTTTTGTATAGGATATGTCTGTTCTTTAGGGCTTTGAAATAGATTGAAAATGTGTTCTTATTTTGAAGTGGACGTAGTAGTACTTGGAGAACAGAATTCTGTAAATCACGACTACTATTAGTCTTATTTGTTTACCTCAAGTCAACATGTTTGTGCAGTGATCAGCTCTGTGCTGCTATTTATGCTCCAGTGTTCTAGTTATTGAAACGAAGCAGAGCTTTTCTATTCAGGTGGTACCTCAGATGCTGTGCTATTTTGTCCTGCAGATAACTTTTTGCAGGCTAATCAGTGTGTATATTAGCACATAGAAATCTGTAACCGTTCAGGAAGCATTTGTTAATATTTAAAACTTGATCAATACTGAGAATAATTGAAGTAATTAACAGTGTCTAGAAGACACATTGATCATCATTGGTTTAGGGGTCTGGTTTGTTGGGGTTTTTTTTCCCCCACTAAAGAGCTCTGTAACTCTTATCAATTTAATGGAGCTGTGGGTACACATTAATTCCTGGGATCAAGAGGTATATCTTTAGCAGCCTGAATTTTAAAAATGCCTATTACTTATATCACCTCCAGATGGTTTGGTGTTTATTGCAGATACGGTTCCTTGCCTTCTAAAATTGGTCTCTGTCAGCACTTCCTCTATAATTAAATACTCCTTTTTTCCTCTCTCTCATTACCATCTTACCTTATTACAGTTTTTCCCAAATACCTCTTCAGGCTTGACAGACTTACCTGGTGGGAGAGTCCTAATGTTTCAGAATTGGTAAGGTATACTGAAGCAGCTTCCTACCTTCAGACCTTTGAAGATAAACTGAGCTTACATTATGGTTGCAAATGTAGTTTACTTGTGCCCACTCAACAGCCAGAGCCATTATTCTCACATTGGTACTTAACCTGATGAAAGCAAGTATTAATTAAGGTGGCTAAAAATGAACAAGGATCAAAACTACTGACACAAGCATTATGTTTATCTGGAATTTGTACTTTTCAGTAACTGATACACAAATAGAAAGGACCTTTGGCAATTCCAGTAGAAAGTATTGAAATAATTTGTGGGGTTTCTTGAGCTGTAAATTCTTTTGAAAGGGAAATTTGCACATATTTGTGCACACACACACACACACAATATTTGCATAACTGAAGAAGCAGATTCCAGCCGGGTGTGGCTAAGGAGGAGAATGAGAGACATTGGTGTGTTTTTTTCCCTTTGTACTAAAACTTGAAGGAAAGTGTTTTCATTGTTATCTTAGTCCTGGAATGAAAGAAAGCACTGGGAAAGAGGAACTCTTCTAAAGGGCCAAATATGCAATTGAGAACCTTCCTGCTGAAAGCATCTGTTACGGTATTACCCATGATGCTTTTTTTTTTTCCATCTGATACTTGTTCCATCTGCTGGTGAGAAGGGAAGGCTGTGCAGTTTCGCTCACTGTCCTCATTTCAGGTATTTTGTGTTCAGTAAATCTTTTTTCTGATAAGGCTGAAAATGCTAGTTCAGCTATTGCAGGCAGCCCTGGGTACAGCAGTCACTAGAAATCAGAGTGGATGTGTAGGAATGGGAGCAGTTCTTTGGATGAAGGAGGGCTGGGAAATGATATGTAAGGGTAGGAGAAAAGCAAAAACAGAGAATAGAACAGGAGAAATGTCCTCAATGTGGGAGGTCCCAGGAAAAATTTTCTGTAAGTAATTCCCCAGAATCAGTAGTCATGTTTGTGGGCTACAAGCTTAAAAAAAAACCCTATTATATTTACATTCCTTTCTCTTTTACCAGTCTGGCTGGTTAGAACTGTGTTTAGACACTCACTAGTGATTCCTTAACTAAATAATACTTCAGAGATGAGAGGGGTGAAGATAACCCTGAATCATGTAAAATAAATGATGTCAAGTCAAATTTTAAAAACAGTAGCAATGGAAAAGGTGTCCAACCATTTAAAAAGTAAATTCCCTTTGAAGTATTGGTAACTATTATTGATGCCTGTGTTATTACAGCATTACCTGGAACGTTATAAAAAATCAGCATCTTGGCTTTGCTCTTTAACTACAATTTTCCCCTGTGAGCCTTGTTTATCTTATTACTTTGATTTGTGAGCTTATTGTTAAAATGTAACTATTTTCTTAGTTCAGCTATGAAGTTTTTTCATGTATTTAAAAAATTTACATACATATAATTTTCATATACAAATGATATATAAATATAAATTTATATAAATGCAATCATGATATGCATATACTTATATGGATATTTATATACACACGCTCATTTTGAGAAACAGAAATCAAAACTTGTATTAAAAGTATGGATTGCTGTATTCATATCCAAGCCTTGCTTAGCCCAGCTAGAACATAGCCCATCACATTATGATGACCTAACTCCAATAGTACATTTGCAGCTACTCATACTGTGGCTGAGAGGATAGAGGTGGCAGAAAGACCTTGAGCTTATCTCAGATTGTTTGCTGATGCTACCCTTCATGTTTGTGCACTTCAGTGTGCCCTCATGTCACACTCACCCACTCCGAGGTGATGAGAACAAAATCAGTTGTACTTGCTAAGGGAAGGTGACTGTAATAAGACTACTATTAAAAGTATTTCTGTTTTACAGCTCAGCTTTTCCTCTGTTTTCGTCAGTATTGGAGTGTAGAATTACAGTTCAGGACACCAGAATTAAAATTCTAGTTTTGTCCTAACTAAGAGATGAAGTGGGGATTTACATACCCTACCTCCCTGCTGTCCCTCTAATTCTTAGTCTCAAAATCCCCACATTCAAAATTAGTTTGCAATGTACGTGCGGCAACACCACAGCTGCTGTTGATCAGATTGTTATTAGTTTTATTTTATTAAAGTGTGACAGCAGTTTAGAATTATTTTTTATTTACAATTCTACTTTAGCACATTTGAAGGAAGAAAACAAAACAAATGCACTGGGGACTTAATATAGGTATTTCCTCAAAACCTGACGTGTTATGCCAGCACAGCTTTAAAAACAACGTGGATTATTCTTCTACTTAAAATCTCGCACTGTATCTGTTACATTAATTTGCTGTGTTGCAAATAGTTTTAGAGTTGAAATGTAGAGAATCAGCGCTTTAAAATCATATTAACTTAAAAAAAAATTCTTGAAAAGTATGTCTGCAAGTGTTGAGGCAGGAAATACAAGTAGGAAAAAAACCTGTGAAAGCTTTTGAATTATTGCGTCAAAGACAGTTTCAGAAGTGACTAAAGATTTCTATGTACTGAATTACTACATTGCATTACGAAAGAAACTCTCTCTTACATAATGCTTCCTAAATCCTAAGACTTACTTTCTTTCAAATGCTATTTTATAAAGCAAGCACCCATGTTGTTTGTGCTTGTCATGTAGTCAAGTCCCATAGCTGCATTTGTGTGGTATTCAAATCTGAGGAAAATGCTAGCTTCACAGTCAAGGCCACTTGTCATAAATTGTTACCTTTATGATTAAACAAAGAAAAAAATTATCTTCTCTGTCTTATGGTGGACTGCTTTTGTTCTTTGAGCTGTACTGAGAATAAGTTAAAAGGATGCTGTACTTAATTAAGTTTAATGATTTGGCACTTAGAGACTCCTGGAAGTTTGGTATGTCTTAACCTGTTTGTATCTGAGCATACACATTGCTTGAATTTAGTGTGATGTTAAAATGTTTCATGAAACAGAGCAGAGTTGCTATGATCTTTCAATGTTAATATGTTTTTCTTATCACTTTACTGTGTAGATATCCTTCATGAGACACAACTCTGCCACAACTCATCCTCGGAGGCAATCGTGGAAACCTTTTATAATATGATTTTTAAATGTGGATAAAGCTCTCGATAGAGTACCTAAAGTAAAGGAGAACAGCTACCTTGTCGCTACTATAAGCTCATGACAAAAAGTTGAGTTTGCTTGTCAGGCTTGGATAGAATGTAATTGATTGGTTTGTTGTTTGGACTGACAAGGTAGTTAATTTGCCTGCGATTTTTTGCACTAATCAGGAACATTTCGTATGTGCATTGTTGAAAAATCCCGGATAAATGTCTTGTCAGAATTGTCCTATTAAAGTAATGTCTTTTTCCCCTGTGCTTCGTTGGCAAATGATGTTATACAATGCTTGGATTCACTGAAGAGTGACAGAAGCCTGTGGGACTTAAATATTGTGCATTCCTCTATGGTGATACCGAATGAAATAAGCAATGGTTTGCCATCCACTGCCACTCTACTTACATGTGGTTTAATAAGAACATTTCTATATAGAACATCATGTTGTACATAGACCTCGCTGTAAAAAAGATTGTTTCCTAAAAAAAAATATCTGTTCATTCATAATGAGACTTGTAAAACCCTTGAGACTTAACTATTCTGAAGGAATAGATTTGCCACAGAAAAATTAATTTTCTGCTTATTAGTATGAACTAATTGTTTCTGAATTCAGACACTCAAGTGATTAGAACTATACTGATACTGCTTTCTAAAAAAATTTTATGAAAAGGAAAAATTGAGTATATACAGATATTTGTTTTATTTGGCTTACTTCTCTGACAGTGTTCTGGACAAGCTTATCTCACAATTCAAATATGAAATTGTTACGTAAGTTGAGGAAGGAATGGAGAACTGATCACACAGCATGACAGCTGAGATCCTCGTCTTCGTCCATATATATCCTGGTAGATGCAGACGTAGTATTTTGATCTACAAATGGTACTGATCCAGTTCTTAAATCTACAGTATCAGTGCGTTGACATCTTCATCGTTTTCATCTTGAACTTGCTTGTAAAAATTCTGCTCAAATGCAATCACACTTGTGACTTTATGACATAATCTTTGAATTTCTTGAGATATGGTGGGTTTTGTCATCTGTCAAGGCACATTTCCATTTGCAGATATTTTTAAACTTAATTAAATGCTGTAATAAGTGATAGGAGAAATATACAAATTTGTGTATACTTATCTACAAGTCATATCTTACCAGGGCATTTCATGTTTGGATATTATATTAAATAAAATTAACCTGATGTCTTAACACGTCGTTTTGTTTTAAAAAGGGGGTGGGCTGATATTAGAGTAAGATTTTCATCTGAACTATCAGAAATGCCATTGTGTACTGGCAAGGCACACAAAAACACCTTAAAATCAAAGAAATTTTTACTAGGAAATAGACATTAATGCTGGAATTTGATCTTTCAGAATCTAGTAATCTGTTTTCAGAAGAAAAGACCAAGTTTAGCAGCCACTTGTGCAAATACTTGAAGTAAAAAGTTATGTGCAAACTCTGTGGTAATGAGGGGGAAAAAAAGAAAAGGTGTTCGCTGTGCTGAGTTTAGGGGAAAAAGAAAGAACAAACAGAAAAGTTACATTCACTGTGATTTATGATCAGTTATTAAACTACACAGCCAAGGTACCATGTGTCGGAGAGAATGATAAATGTAGCGTTTCTTAGCTTTAGTAAGACTTAGAATACTTCTGTGTGTGACATTCTACTAAATAAGCTAGAGAAATATTCTGTTAATTAAGCTGCAGTGAAATATGTAGCTGATTAAACAAGTATGCTCGTTACTATGGACTCGCTGTCAAATGATGTTCCACACACTGAGTTCCACACAGGACTCTCCTGAGTATTATTATGTTTTTGTTAATTTTTGCTTTAGTATATTAGGTGCTGGAATAACGTGTTTTGTTACATTTGCAGGTCATGGCAAAATGGTGTGAGGGACCAGTTTTAGAATTAAAAGTAATATTTTAAGAAAGCATGCAAGGCAGTAAAGGAAAAGACAAATCACTGCTTATTGCATTGTTATGATACTAAGAATAACTAGTGAGATGATACATCTTCAAAAAAGAAAGTATGGGGGTCTGGATCACAAACTGAGTGTGAAACAGTTTGGTTATATGTAGAAAGAGAGGTGTTACATTTAACACGTGAAAGTAATCCCCCTGACTGTTCTGAAGACTGGTGTATCACCCTTGGAAAAGCCTCAGCTAGCATATTCTGGCCACTTTGACAAGAAATACGTAGAGACGGTCCAAAGCAAACCGAATTGAATGATATGAAGACTACAGGAGGCATAATGAAAAAGCTTTAAATAGTTGAATTTCTGTAATTTACAAAAGACTGAGGAATCTTTCTTCAAACAGACTAAATTAATACAAAAGTGATGAAGAGAGAAGTTGCTGCAAAAAAAAGGCAAAAAAAGTTGTTATTCAAATATGGTCAGGCCAAACAAATTGTAGTAGGATGATTTGAGTTACGCTTTTGGCCTTTTCTTTCTCTTATTGTTAGGAAGCTTTTTCTAGCAATAAGAAAAATTGCAATAAAGAAGTTTGTTAGGGAAATCGAGAATTCTCTGCTGTTGAAGGGTTTTAAGTACAGACTAATTTGTGTTTAAAAACTGTTGTGAATATTATTGATACTCCCTGGGCTTTCTTGGTAAACTGAGGTGACTTCCTGCTGCGTTTCGTATGTTTGTTCCCCAGTACAGCTTTTGTGTATTTTTTTTATTGCTATTATTTTTTATTTTTGTTTTCTTTCTTTGGCACTTTTATTTGGACATTAGGCATTAGTTTAATTTTCAGTATCTCTTTGCCTCACTCATGTGAATCGTTCTGTCACTTTTCTCTCTTTTTCTGGACAGCTGGATGTTAACACTTAATATTTCACCTTTTGAAGGAACTTTGGTGGCAGTATTCAGAGCTATAATGGACTTCTGTACTAGTTCACAAACAATACACCATTCAATGTAGTTACCAGTCTGAATACCTGAGAATGGCACACTAGATGTAATCATCAATTATGAATTTAATGTACTTCAGAATAACTAATGCAGCATTTGCTAATACCTGTCTTAAATTTTATATTCTTCAGTTTGTCAAGGGGGCTATCCTGGTTCCTTCAGAATTTCCTGTATTTTGCAAGAAAGAAAATACTTTGAATTGGGGGGTGGGAAGGGCCTGTAATTTGTGTAGCATTATCTTAATACATGCCTTGGAGACATTGTCTTCAGAGAAATACTTAAATTAAGCTTAAAAATACTGTAAATAGAAGCTCTACATAGAGGCTGTATAATATTAACAAAACCAAACACATTTGATACAGTGTGTACATCAGTGTATTCCCTTTGTATATGTGGGCCCTTAATTAATTTTATAAAATAATTTATCAAAGCAATGTGTTTTATAGTTTTGGCATACTACAAGAGAGAGGGAGAAAAGTGAACACTTCTTGTGAAAGGAAGCTGTTCACATACAGGTCAGTAAATAAAATTTCTTTATAGCATTCTTATATTTCATTGTGTACATACAAGCTCAGTTTTATGAAACAGAAGACTTGTGGACCAGTCAGAAAAATATGGACTACGTGGCAATGTCACATAATGATATTGTGTGATTCTTCCTTACCCATAGATTCTTCAGATTCTTCCTTACCCACAGATTGTCAGTGTTAGGGTTTTTTACTTGGGGGGTTGGTGGTTTTAGCATTACAAAACATAAATAAAGTAGGAGAGGTGGCAGTTTCAGAGAGGGGTTCAGCAGAATAAATTTAGCTCCACAAATGTCTACCATATTAATGCTTATTTTCTTTTGTGATATAATTGATTGGCACTATTTGTAAGTTCTGTTAAAGTGAAGTGTTTGGGTTACATGATGATTAGCAGCTGGGGGGGTGCAGAGTAGAAGCATAAAATGTTTTTTTTTCCTTTTGAATGTATAGGTAGAATGTTTTGTTTACTGTTTTGCTTTAAAGTAGAACTTCCTAAAGTCAAAGCTGTAGAAATTCATGCTATTATATATTATAACTAGTGCTAAATACAGGATTAAAAAAAAAAATTACTTCATGTAGCATATGCTGAAAAGTGTAGTGCAGATCCTGTGAGTGAAGGGTTTTCCACAGAATTATTGTATACTAGAGAGAAAAAATAGTCATTTTAGTAATACCCATGAGTTTGGACAAAAACTTGAGTTACAGTTTCTCACCTTTAAAATTGTATCAGTACTTCATTTGGCTACTGGTAACTGAAGATCAGTAAGCTCATCCTGCCCTTTCAGGCCATGTTTCCATCTTGCCTATGCCCTGTCTTCATCAGTAGTAGGTAGACATAAAAACCAGAATGTAAAACTCATCCTGCAACTGGTATATTCACTCACCTTTCAGCAATAGCCTTGCCCCTTGTCTTCCAGCCATTACAGAAGAGAGTGGTAGTCACTGTCTCATCTAACACAAGTCAGGGACTTCCTTTGGTATGCTTGCATTGCACCTGGCATAATAGAAATTTGAATGTGTAATACCATAAGCATTATCCTACCCAGAAAGAGCACTTCATTTACTTCAGTCAAAATTATTAAAATACTAGGATCCAGAAAGATCTAGGTTGGACAGAGCCTCTGGAGGATATCTGTTCCACTCAAAGCAGGACTAATGCAAGGTTAGATCTAACTCTGAAATCAGATCAAGTTCCTTAGAGTTACATGCTGTTGAATTTTGTGCATCTTAGACGACAGAGAGCCTTTCAGGGCAACCAGTACCTGTGTCTGAAGAGGCTCTGTAATTGGGCTACATCCTCGTTTACGTTCAATGTTGTGTCCACATGCAGTCACATAAGTATTTTAGTGCTGGAATCACGCTCCTGATAGTAAAGTCACTTAAAGCTTGGCTGACCTATTTGAGGATACTTCTAACTTATGCTGGTGCTAATAGTTTTTTCAAATGGTTCTGTAGAACAGAAGCTGCAAAATTACTTGACTTAAAGGCAATGGAAAACCTGTATAAATCAGGAAGAAGAAAACCATCTTTTTCCTTTTTGTACTTGTATTTTTGTCTTTTGACAACATTCTGTCTAAAAAGAGTTCCTAAGGATCTAGACCTGATTTTAAAATAGTGTA